TTGGGGGGGGATTGGGAAGGGTCGAATAAGCAAAAACCTGTTGCTCCCCCAACAAGCGAGTGAGAGGATGGAGAAGGGAGAGGTGCAGAGGCGGCGGCATGGCCATCGCCTCCATCCCCATGGTGCTCCCCCAGGGGTTGTGCAGGTGGCTCCCTGGCATCCCCAGGGAGAGACCGGCCCGTTGCCGTGGCTACAGCTGTCATCACTGTGTGGTGCCTCTGTCTCCCTCTGGCCTCGTTACAGCCTGGCTCTGGTCAGATAAGCTAATTGGGGCTGTAAACATCAAAGAAAGGCTCGACTTTGGGGGTGACTTTTGTGGCGGGGTGGTACCCGCAAGCACCATCTCGCTGCTCCATCTCGCAGCGTTTTTGGGGAAGTGCGATGCTTTGAGCCCAGCACTGAAATCTCCTGGGGACTGATCCAAACGGCCGCATCCCGGGGCAGGGCAGCTCCCTGCTCTGGCTGCAAACAGCATGTCCATTGCGTAGGTGCAAGGATCTGGCTGCCCTGCTGGTCCCCGAGGCGTGGGGTCTTCAGGCTTCAATCCACGCCTGCTCGGTGCTGCCGAGAGGGGAGGCACTGCCGTGCCTTCCCACCACAAGCTCCTCTTCTCCTCTGGCAGCTTGCCTGCATGGTCAGGGCCACCTGAAGGCCACTGCTGGCCATACTGTAACCTTCTTGCCACGCCGTGAGCTGCCCATCCTGGGTGCCCTGGTACCAATGGCTGGCTCTGCTCAGCCCTCCATCCCAAATGGGTGGTGGGTGCCGCTGGGCAGGGAGGTTTTGTGGTGCAAGGGGACCTGGGACACGCTGTTAGCAAGCTGCTAAATGCAGGTGGCTCTTGAATAGGAGACAACTCATCTGCAGCCTACGAACAGGGGGAAGAGGGAGGTGCTGCACGACTCGGTGGCTGGAAGCGATTTTTGGGCTGTCATGGGAGGGCGGCTGAGGAGGCACCGGTGCTTATGTCCGCCGTGTCTGCCAGGAGGGTCAGTGGCAGGGCTGCCTGTTCCTCAAGATGCCACCGAGCTCACCCTGCCTCAAAGCAGCAGCATCCCGGGAGAGTTTCTGGAGGTTTTTTGGGGCAGGGATGGAGGCATGGTGTCCTTCCTGGGGTTTGATCACCCTCATCGTGAGATTCCCAAATGCCGAGGTGGGACCTGATGTTTCTGGCTGGAAAACCAGTACAAGTTGTTCTTCATTTTTCTTCTCTCCTCTGGGCTGACCAGCCCCGGTTCTTTCAGTTGCTCCTGCACGCTGGGCCTTCTGGCATAGGTGCCATCTGTCCCGTGCCTTGCTCCTTGCACAATGCTGAGCCTGGACATGCTGTTCGTGCTGTGCCTGCAGCCTTGCCAGCACCAAATAATGTGGTCATGCTCTTGTTCGTGCCTTCACAAATGACTGCCTGCAACAACATGAAGTGATTAACCTGAACTTGGCTTGCAACCCATCTCTGTTCTCTGGAGCTGCTGGACCCTGCCCTGCGTCAGTGTAGCTGGTCCTTCTCCTAGTTACTGTACTTTGCTTCCTATTGAGTTTCATCCTATTTCTTTTTTTTCCAGCCCGTTTCTCCAGTCTCCTGAGAGAACGGTGAATTCTTCTCCAGCACGTGCTTGCATCTCCTCTAGCTTCCCACCTTACAGCTGCAGAAAGCACTATTGCAGTTGCCAGAAGTGTTCGTGGAAATGTGGACTAAACCTGGACCCACCACAGGTCCCCACGAGACCCTGCTTGATCCAACCTCTGATACCTCCCAGAGTGAGTTATCTGTGCAGTTTTGTGCCGGTGCTGTAGAGGTTCACCACCACCATGTTTCCCAAGCTGGCTTCCAACACTTGGAGACACTTAGAAAGCTGAGCTGAGACCCTTGAAGCCCACAGGTCTGTGGCTCTGCTGGAGGAAGCTAGGTTGATCTCATGCAACTTGGTCTTAGTAGATCCCAACTGGCTGTAGCCCACCTTAGGTTTGTCTGTGGATTATTTTGTTCCAGGATTTTCCAGGAACCCATGTCTAGAGGTCGAGTTGGACATGCAGGCCTCCCTCCAGTCCTCTGCCCTGTCGCTCCTCCCTTCCCCATCCAGACACGAGAATGGTTGCAGCTGGCCCTGTGCGTTGGCCGTGCTGATGTGTGCCCGGCATCTTCTTTCCCACCTCGCCTCGTTGTCAAATGCAGAAGGAGATGAACAAGAAAAAGAAGCTGATTTTTGTGATTTCCCCACATGTGGGTTTTTCAGCCCTTGAGTTGGGTCCTGGAGACTTCCCGGCATGGAGATGCCTCAGGGCGGAGGTGTTGCTTGCCTCCATCTCCAGGGTAAGGTCTCCTCCTCGCCTTTCTTCCAGAGCCTGCTGTTGACTTTTGTATTAATATTTCAGGCACGTGACCCATCTCGTCAAGTCTGCTGTGCCAATTAAGTTGTAATCATGCTGTAATGAAGCAGTTGCTGAGCTCGTGCTGAAAACCTTTGCTAGCTTATTCCTCTCCCTCCTCGCTGGCTCTTGGCACTGCTTCATGAGAGACAGAAGGGGATGTCAAAGACGCCCTGGTGATTTTTTTTCATTTAAATGAAAATTGCTTTTTTATTATTATTATTTCAGCAGAATTAAAGCTCGGAAGCCCGCTCTGCATTTTTTGAAAGCTCTGCCGCTGTCTCCTCTGGAAAGCATCTTCCTCCTTGGCAGAGTTTGTGGTATTTCCCATCATGCGCTCGGCTCCTCCGGCAGCATCTGTGCTTCCCCCCATCCCCTTAAACCCCTCCGTACCTACACAGGTCCCAGTGCTTGGCTGTCACTTGTCAATCACTCAACTGTCAATCATCTCAGCTGTTGATCCAATGGTTCTGGGCACTCCTAGCATTTCCAGGTGGGCTGGGGGGTTGCATTTGCCCAGACTCCTGATTTTCCAGACTCGTGTGCATCCTTGCGCTCTGGGAAGGATGGGATCAGGCCGGAGGGATTTGCAAGCCTGTTAGTGCTGCAGACCTTTCCTTTCTCCCCCGAAGTTGATGCTATAGAAACATCCAAGACCGATGTTATTCTATCCTATTTTGGCAGTGCAATAGGAATTGGTGAAGCTTAAAGCTTATTAGGAGCTTTTGTCTCCTGCATGAGGTTTCCTGGGTGTATAAATGTCTCTCCTCCTCTTCCGCCTCGTGTGTTTGCAATAACCACAGATGCTGCCGGAAGGAAAGAGCCGCGCTTAACAGGGAAAGGGGCTAAAAATATCAGAGCAGCCTTGGATGGGAACGGTGGACACGGGCTGAGCTCCCAGCCAGTGCTGGGAGAGGGTGAAGGTCTGCGCTGGGAACTGGGAGAGCCACGTGCCTTGATGCTGATGGAGGGAGGATGGTTTACTCATGGTGGGGTTACCCCAGCAAACCTGTGTCCCACCCCTAAAATGCCAATAGGGACTGACGTGCCCTTGCTGGGGTGTCTGCGTGCCCATACCCGTGGGGTCCTGCTGGGGTGGCATCTCTGGGTTCGTATGGGAGCGCTGCTGGTTGCAGGACACCAGCCTGGGAGCTCTTCCTCATTTGTGCCTCTTCTCTCCGTGGGAGGAGAAACCATCTGGACCTCTGACCAGGACAGGCTCTGAACTGGTGGGGCAGATGCATCTCAGATGTATCGCTTGGGGGGGACAAGCAGGAGTTCCCTGGGGGGCTTCCTGGGACACCCCTGTCCACCCCTCTGCTGCATCGTCAGCGTTTGTGCGTGGGGACATATCCATGCCCCCTCCTTCTCCCTCGGGGCTGGGGGAGCTGCGGGCAGTGACCCAGGCCAGGGTCTGTCTCCAGGGGACAGAGGGCACCAGTGTGTGACAGAGTCGGTGGCCCCGCGTGTCCCTTGGGTGAGTGATGGCTAACGTCCTCCTGCAGCGATGCTGGGGGGCTGTGCTGAAGGGAGGTACCCGCTGCTGGCGGGACTGAAGTGGAACGGATATGGCCCTGCTGGCAGGGGATGGCTTCTCCGGCCACTGCACCTTTCCGGCTGACGTAGTGATGGCTTTCTTTGCAAAGTGCCTTGGCGGTGGGTGCTCTCAGGCTCCAGGGACCAAAGCAGGGCTCCTTCACGCTGTGGGCTGCTCCGGCATGGTGATTGGTAATGGGGAGCCGGTGTGGCAAAGCACTGGGAGCAGGGGTTGCTGATGGCGACTCCGAGCATGGATCCTGGCGTGGACTAAGAGGGGCCAGGGTCTGCCAGGGTCTGTAATCTTTGCAATACCAGTTTCTTTAGTATTTCTAACAAGCGCAGAGCTGCCTGCGGCTTTGAACTCACAGGACCCCCTTGGCTGCATGGCCGCATCCAGGAAGGGGCTCAGGCGCATAATCGAAGGGGCTTTCATGGGGAGCTGGGCTGGGAGATAATGGGCACTCCCTGGGCTGGGAGATGCTCCTTGTTGGGGGGCTCAGCCCCTCCAAGCTGCATCTCTTGGGCATTGCCTTTGCAGCTAGCATGTCCCAGGTGGGATGGGGAGCTCTGCACTGGTGATGCTTTTGGGGTGGGCAGATTAAGCCTCCGATGCTGGCTGCGGGCTGCCCCTTCAACATCTGCTGCCCACTGTTGCCTCCTGGTAGGATGCTGGAGACTGGTTGCCGGTGCCTGGTGCTTGAGGAGGGGGGATGAGGAGGAAGGTGGTTCCCCAAAACACTTCCCAAAAGCCTTCTGCAGCCAAAGCCCCGCCGGCTCTGGAGCAAAAACCCGGGGCTGTTGCCTTTCCCTTCTCCAGGGGCTTGGCTTCAAACCAGTGCCTCCAGCTGTGCTGGTCCCGGCCGCCTTGGGAGCAGCATCCCCGCCGTGTGTCACAAGCCTGGGACGTCACAGCCTGTCGGGACATCTTCCAGCCACCCCCCGTATGCAAAGCCTGCTGCTCTATAAAGCAAATAAACTTGTCACTTGAGCTCTCCCCGCCCGCACCGGCCAAGCCATCGTCTAAATTTGGGTGATTATGTTCACCCAGGCCAAGTATCGAGTTCTCTGGATCACATGCGCTCCCAGCTGCTGATTAACTCTGACACCTCAGGGAGACGCAGCACTTCGCTCCCAGCTGCTTGGGTTTTGTATTATTATTTTTATTATCATTATTTTGGCACCAGAGATTTTTTTTATTATTATTTTTAAATTTCTATCCTGCCAAGTTGTTCCCCTCCCTGGCCGGTCACCAAGCAGCCCAGCACCTGCTTTGACTGCTAAATCTGATCACGATGTTTCTGGTTCTTTCAGCCACCACGGAATTAAGGGATTTTTTTGCCAAAGCCCGAAACGGTTCGGTTCGGCTCATCAAGGTCATCATCGAGGACGGTAAGTCCCCCTTTTAAGTGTTTTGATTTACGCCATGTTGGTTCTCTGTTTTGCGTCTCCTCCTTTCCTCTTTGCCGCTGCGGTGGCAGCTCATTTTTTTTTGGAAAGCCCAAGGAAAACCCTGCTGGGGCTGCCTGGCACGCGGCAGGCAGAGCTGAAATCCAAGCCGAAAATTTGCGTGTGCTGGTGAGCAGCTATTGGAGCCCCAAGGCAGCTCCGGGGGGGAGCAGCGACTTTGCTGGCGGACCGACGGCACTGGCCGGGATCGGTGCTGGGCTCTGGGGGGCTTTTGCTGCTGCTGTGTCGAATTTTATTACGGGAGCCCTGTGAGAAACTGCTGCGGGTACCGTGGGACCGTGATTGGGGGCGATGCGCAGCACCTTCCTCCTTGGACGTGGCATCCCATGGCAGGCAAGGAGGTGCTCTGGGCAGGGGTGGGCAGGGGCGTGCTCCTTGGTGTGAGGCTCAGCACGGGGCCCCGATTGCATCCCGCAAGGGATGCTACACTCTGACACCCATCCCGTCCCAGCCCCTGCTCCTGTGCACGGGGCTGCCCCTAGCCCAGTTTGCAGGTGCCAACCTGCCCACGTTTGCCCCATGGAAAGGTGCTTTTGGATGGCCTCTACACCTGTCAAACAAGAAAGCAGAGCAAAGCGCTGATTTAGCATCCCTGCGGGAAGCCTCCGTGGTGTAGGTTTTCCATCGCCTTGGCCTCATACAATTGCATATGAATGACTTGTTTCTCATGGCAGCGGGGGTGTTAACGCCCTGCCAAGCTGCCATCACCACCTCCCTTGGGGGGGCCACCAGGACCGTGCCGGGCCACCAGGACCGTGCTTGCAAACGCTGAGGTGGACGTGGTCGTAAGGAGCCCGTGCTGGCCTACAGAGGGGCTGTGAAGCCTCATTTGGAAGCGCGGCGCGACTTGAAATACGTGGGACGCATCAGCAGGACCACCGCAAGTTTTGGCAGTGTTGGCTTTGTCCTTGGTTCCTGTGTGTTGGGATGCAACATCTGCGTTGTTTCTTCAGAGCATCTTTGACAACAATATTGCTCTCTTGGCTCCTTTTGCTTTTAAAAAGTAGGAATCGGGTTTGCGTTAGGATAAGTCGTGGATGCTCCTAAGCCTGGACTTAGGGTGCTGGGGCTTGTGCCGCTGGCTTTGGGCTGTGGCCGGTGACACCAGCAAGGGAGACTTTTTACCATCAATGGAAACCACGTCCCACCTTCTCCACTTGGGCTGAATGGGATATATTTATCTGTCTGATGTGTTGGCGGCAGCAGCTGCTTCATGGACCAACCTCGACAGTGCTTTGTGCTTCCCAACCTCGACAGTGCTTTGTGCTTCCCAGTCTGGCTCTCCCACCCTGCCGGCTCCTTTCCCTTGGCCTGGATGAGCCATGGGCAGCTCTAGAGGAGCCTGGATGTCTGCAGAAGCCTCTGAGATGCGGCAGAGCCTGTGGCTGCCATGGGGAGGCAGGTGGAAGGAAGAAAGCCAGGAGCATCTCTGCGCCAAAGGGCTTAGTCTGCTGGGGACAAGGTGATGGTGGTCCCACCAGCCTGGCTTAGGACCTCCCATCTGCCTGCCCACACAACTTGGGACAAGGTGCTCGGTCCCTCTGGGCCACCGTTCTCTTCTGTAACACAGGAGACATCAGCCTGCTGCTGCCAACTGGAGAAGGACCTTCGGGCAGTAATGAGTGGCCAGGCAGACATCACGGATGAACAGACAGACTCAACAATGCTGACCCTGGAAGGGATGTGTCCTGAGCCAGCTGGGGAGGACATGCCAGCTGCCCTGCCTGCACAGGCGATGTGGAAGAGGGGCCTCCAGCCCTGCTCAGTGGCTTGCAGAGGACCTCCTGCCCTACCGGGCATTTGTCTTGGCGCATGTTGAAGCAGGCAACAGCGGGTGGAAGGAGAGGAAGATGGTGCAAGGAGCCTTAAGGTGGATGCTCTGTGTTTGGGCATCCCCAGGACAGCAGCTGTGGCTGAGCAACCCTTTGGGAGCTCTTCAAGCTGATGTTGCCCTTGGGGGCTGGCCAGGAGAAGCTGAGGTCAGATGGAGACCTCAGGTGTGGGGGTCGCGCACTGAGGCTCATCAATGGTTTGCTGGCATCAGAGCAGCTTGTGGTCCAACGCGGTTTTAGGTGATGCTCAACTCCTCGCTGTCAGCAGGTTTCTGGACAAGGTTGGCTTTGCGGTCTTCCTCGTTGGGTGCGTTTCTTTGCACGTAGTTGATGTTGCGCACTGAGCTTTGCAGACTCCCGGCTCCTGCGCTGTGCCCCTGTGGCGCCTGCCAGAGCTGCAGGCAGGGCTGCCTTGTATGGGCATTTCGGAGCAAGGCAGCCTGCCTGCCGCTGAGTGCTGGGGGCACCTCGAGGGCCAAAGATGCTCCCAGCTGTGCTTTTTCCAGCAGCAGCACCCTGCAGAAATGGAGCCTGAAATAGCTGGTGACAATCTTCATCACTAACAATGATGCTTTGCCGAAGGGCGGCTGTTCCGGGTTCCCCTTTCCTGATGCTTCCCGAGGAAATGGGAACACCAGCCACGGGCAGTGGGTGCAGCGTTTGGCTTCGCTGCAAGTGCTGGGGAGGAAAATTTGGCCCTGAACAAGGGAAGGCTGGAGGCTGCCGGCTCGCGGCGGCACGGCCGGGATCCGGCTTGGGTGCAGCCTGGAGTGACTCGGCACCGATTGCCTTGTGCGTGAGGTGTCGGGAAGTTTGGCAGGTGGAGACACCCGTGAGCTGCCAGTGGGTTTGGCCAGGTGAAATTCCTTGCAGTCTCTTTGGGATCGCAGGTCTTCGTGATGCACAAATCCTTTTGCAGGGCTTTTTTTATGTGTATTGTAGGGGTACATTGAGGTTTTTACGCTTCTCTTTCTCCAAACAGGTAGTTTTGCTGAATGTAAAGTATTTTCAGCACCTTTTTTCCCTGCTGCCCTTGTTACTGTACTGGTAGCACATGCCCCTTGTGTGCAAATAATTATGGGTTCAGCGTGCAATGGCAGATGCCGTGGCGGGACGGCGTTGGGCAGGGAAGGGCTATGCTGCTGTAGGTGGGGGAATGCCCTGCTCGGATGGGAATGGGGTTGAGAGTAATTCATCCCAAATCCTTTATTCCTCAACTATTTTCCTTAAAAGCTTTCCTGCCATGGGATTTGGAGCTGCTGAGCTGGATGGGTTGGGAGGGAGAGGGCTGCGCCCCGATGCCCCTGCTGTCTCCCAGTGGGCAGCAGGGCCGTGAGCAGCGGTCCAGGCAGGGCGTGTGCCAGGCTGAGCATTCCCTCGAGCACCAACTGTCCAAGGCCCCAACTTGTTTTGTTTTGGCACCTCCGGATTTTCCTACATCTTGTTCTGAGTCCCGACATCTCCCCCCAGATCTTTCTGCATCTAAAAATGGAATAAAAATACAGGTTGTTTTCCAGCAGCCTATGCTGATCGTCTCCAGCACAGTTGCTTTTCAATCCAGCCATCCCAAAGCTTGGTTTGACCCTCACAGGGGTCTTTCTCATGTTCATATGATGCCTGCACCAGCGTTTAAATCCCAGCTGAGCACTGCCTGGCTTGCAGGGCTCCCAGCCCCACCTCCGCTTGCATAGCAGCAGAAAAAAATACCCTCCAGACATTTGAGATGCAACCACGTGCGTGAAATATGTAGGTCGCTTCCAGAGGCTGGGGCTCTCCCGGCAGCGTGGTGTCCCCCCCAGGCTGTGGTGTCTGGGACATCTCCGGTCCCTGCAGACATGGGCTTCGGGTACCAGCTCTGATTTTGACTCTTCTGAGGTTATGGGGAATCCGATGAGAGCAGCTTGGGCTCATTGTCCCAGCTTTTGCCATGGGACCTTTATTTTTCTCAGCACCCTCGTGTCCCTGATGAAGTCTTCTAGTGCCCAAGCCCCTAGAGCTTGTCCAGGTGGGATGGAGGAGGTCTCATGTTCCCCTGTGAGCAAGGAGGGATGGTTGGGGACTACACGGCTGGAGGGAGCAGGAGGCTACAGATGGTCACCAGAGAGGAGAGCCCGGCAGTGAGGAGCACGGGAGGGGAGGAAATGGTTGACAGGAGGCAGTGGGATGCTGCCAGAAAACCAGCCCCTCCACAGCAGCCGCAGCCCTGATGGCACCTTCTGGAGGGTCACCTGTAGGAGTGTAAACTCATGTAATGTGGTTCGAGATCTTCATTTGTTTTTCTGCAGGATATCATCATTGTTGGCGCTGGAGCTGTGGCAAGCCCTTAGACAAGCTGCCCTGTGGTCCTGCAAGGTGAACTAAGCCTTGTTTTCATCTAACACCACCTTTTCCATCTTCTCCTTCCAGAACAGCTTGTGCTGGGAGCTCACAAAGAGCTGTCCCGGCGCTGGGACGCTGACTACGATGCCTTTGTGCTGCCCTTGCTGGACGAGCAGCAGCCATGCTACGTGCTGTACCGCCTGGACAGCCAGAACGCCCAGGGCTACGAGTGGCTTTTCATCTCTTGGTCCCCTGACAGCTCCCCGGTGAGCACCGTGCCAGGCTGTGACACCCCAGCGTGGGGATACGGACGTGTTCTGGGAGGTGGAGATGGAGGGTAGAGGGGTGTTTGGCCAAGTTGACTTCGTGCTGGGGCTGAGGAGGAGTGTTCGCACCCTCCATCGCCATGCCCGGGTTAAGAAGTGGAGACTGATTTGGGGATGGGGGAGTTTTTTTAAGACACAGTAAGATACACTGGACCCCATCTCTGTCCTCTTTGCGGTGCTGCATGAGGAGGTGGAGGGACTGGGGTGTAGCGGGGGGAGTGGTATGGGCCACGGGGCCGGGATGGAGATGTCCCACTGGAGCTCTGGCCAAAAGCATCCCTTGGAAGAGCTGGTGCTGGCACTGACTGCTCTGCTTGAGGGCTGACGCAGAGCTGCTGCTGGCCCACCTCCGGGCGCAGCTCCAAAATCATCCTTAAAAAGGGCCGTGCAGGCTGGTTCCCTCCGAGCCGCGTGTGGCCGGGCCGGCACTGGCACCGGCCGGGCTGGCTTGTGGGGTCGGAGCCGGCGTCAGAGAGCGGGCGCAAAGGGGCCGGTGGGATGCGGTGGGTGTCTAGCGGATTTCAGCGCTACAGCTTGGAAAATGCCGTCCTGTTGAGCGCATCTCCCTAACGAGCTTTCAGCGGGACCAAGATTTGCTGCCATGTTAACACGTGTGCTTATCACATACATACGCATATATATACATTTTTATGTATATACTTTATATAATCTATATGCTATATAGATTTACTGCCATGTTAATATGTGCACTTGTCATATGTATAAGTATATATATTTGTTTTATATATAACAATATATATAAATACATATTTTTTCTATATTATAACACATATAAAAAAGACCCTCTGCAGTTTTTTGATATATCTGACAAATATATATTATTATATATACACACATATATGTATACTCACAGTTATATACAATTATAATAACATAATATAATATATATCATTTTATGTGTGTATACATGTGTGTACATGTACATATATGTCCATATACACAATTATAATAAATAATATATCATTTTATGTATGTGTACCTATACATGTGTATACATATAATAATAGATATTTTTTATCTCTATGTCTCAACAAACTGTGGAGGGTCTTATTGCAAAAGAGCGGGGTGCCAAGGAGCACTTGCCAAAGCTCTTCCCTGCGTTTTGCAGAACAATGCAGAAGAAGTGCTGAAAGGTGAAAGTCGCTTTTCGGTGACTCCGGCGGTATGTGTGCCTCCTCTTACCCAAGCGTGGGTGAGAAGTGATGTGCTGGAGCTCAGGGATGGGAAAGCAAAGCACAGAATAAACCCGCGGGTCGCGGGCAGCGCTTGGCAAGGCTGCACCATGCGCGGGCAGTCCTGGAACTGCCGCGCCGATGGGTTTCCCTGGCCGCTCCCTACCCGGAGATGCTGCGGTTAGAAATCAGCCTGAGCTACAAACCAGGTGGTAGCTCCCAGGGAGGGCTGAGGTTTGCAGAGCTGGTGGTGGGATGGTGGCCATGAGCATCGGGAACCTCTTATGGGGAGGTGCTGCTCCCCGCGGGGTCCCACCGTGCAGGATCCCCTCTCTGACCGTGCTTGCCGCCTCCCTCCTCGCCCAGGGCCGGCTGAAGATGCTGTACGCTGCCACCAGAGCAACAGTGAAGAAGGAGTTTGGCGGGGGGCACATAAAGGACGAGATGTTTGGAACGGTGAAGGTACAGTGGTGGTTCCTGGGCAGCCTCTTGGGTTCAACCCTGAGCTTTGGGAGCCTACTCTGGGCTCGGCGCTGAAGCCAGACGGGACATGGGATGCTGGCGTCTGGCAGGGGGACAGCACGGATGTTTGTCCCCCATGCTGTTTTAGTCTCCTGGGTGGCTGCTGCTGCTTTCTCCTGCCTGCACGGCTGCAGTCAGTCTGTGATGGACACTGTGGAAGAGATGGGAGGAAGGCTCAGAAGACATTCAGAGCTTTACTCTGAGCAGAAAAAGAAGCGCCAGGCGGTGGCAGTGTCACTCCAGCAGGGAGAGCTGCTGCCATGCCGGGGTCATCTGGTTGCGCTTCCCCAGCAGCGCTTGGCAGGAGGTTTCTCCTTCTCTTCCATGGGCTTTTCACAGTGGGAGCTGCACAGCCAGGGCTTTCCAGGCATCAACCCCTCTCTGGGGCTTCTGATGCCAATGGGAGCGAGGGAGCATCCCCTCTGCTGCCCTCCTGCTCTGGTGCCCATCTCCGCTGCTCCCAGGCCGTGGTCTCTGTCTTTCCCTCTCACTTTTGTGCTCGTGAGCTCTGTTAATCAGCCGGTGGAGCCGCGCTGCCGCAGCCACAGGTGTCCGGAGAGGGGCAGGGTGGTCTGAACGGGCATGGGCAGTCGTGGGCACTGTTTAAAATTGAGCATGGGATTTGCACGGCGGCATCCGAGAGTGCTGCTTGGGTTGGTCCTCCTGGTAAGGAGAGAGCCTGAGACCCGCTGGGTTGCTCAGGTGCAGCCTCAAGGCTGGGGGTGCATCCAGCCCTGCAGCCATAACCATCCCTGATGCTTCCCCCCGTCCCTGTCCCTCTGGCTGCAGGAGGACGTGTCCCTGGCTGGTTACCAAAAGCACGTGTCCTCCTGCTCTGCCCCGGCCCCGCTGACTGCAGCCGAGCAGGAGCTCCAGCAGATCCGCATCAACGAGGTGGGTGTCCGCCGGCCCGTGGAGAAGGAGCCCAAGACCCTCGGGGTACGCAGGGATGAAGGATGCAGGGACGTGTTTGCTGCTGGAGGTGTGGGAGTGAGCATCTGAGCATCCAGCTAAGAGGGATGGCTCATTTTTACTGCGCTCTCTCATACCTCTGCAGTTTAACCCGTTCCTGCCCTTGCTGAGATGGACCAAGCATCCTCATGGTCAAATTCGTGCCGTAAAGAGGAATTTACAGACTACTTTTTTTTTTTCTCCTTTGCTAGGACATGAGCTAGTAATTGGCAGTCAGAAGGCTGTTTGAGGCTGAAAGCAGGCAGCAGTCTCTAACCTCTAGGTATCGGGGCAGAAACCAGAGCTGAGTCTGAATTCGCGGGGGAGGCAGGAAGAATTCAGGCTTATCTCTGGGCTGCAGTAGTGTCCTTTCCCATACTCTTCCTCTGTGGCTAAAATCATGAGGGATGCTGTCCCAAGAGATAGAGGTCTTAGCCTAAATTTGGGGGCTTCTGTGCTGGAAAAAGATGTGGAAGTGGCACGGGGTAGGGTTGGAGGCAGACAAGACTGTAACGCCGTCGTCTCCCCATCGGCATCTTGCGGCACTCATGCCAACCTCCATGGTGCTGTGAAACACCGAGGCAGGGAAGGGGATCGGCTCGTCGGGTGGGAAGACCACCTGGAAGCAGTATTTTTTTGGGATGGGGGGATTTCACTTGGATGCCATGGAAAGCCTTCCTCTTTAGAGGAGAATCCCTCTCTCTTCTGCCTGTGCTGGGGCTGTGGGGCTCACAGATGGATCAGGACGTGCCTGGGAGATGTGAAGCCAATCAGCCTGATGGTGTTAATTAATGGCAAAGACGAGGCAGGACGTTTCCACCTGCCAGAGCAGGTCTGGGGGCAGTGGAGTTGAGGGGCGTTCGGGAGATGCCACCAAGGGGTGGTCTCCACTGTGTGGGTCTCGGCGTGGTTATCCCAGCTCCCAGCCTGGAGGAGCTGAGTAGCGTTTGTGCAGGAGGATCCAAGGTGATGCCCACGCTTAGAGAAGATAGAGGTGGATGCTCATGGTGGCTCTGCGGCTTGTTTGGCACCTTTGGGTGTCTGTGCCATCACCTTGGCTGGCCAGTGCTGCAAGATTAAGTAGTTTTGGGGGTTTTTTTTCGGTCTGTGTCTTGCAGGGTAAAGTGCCCAAGTAAGTGGTGCTCATGGTGCTTGTTTTCCGGTTCATCTGCTGTGCTCTGCTTCCCACCCTTGCCTTTGCAAGATGTGGCACCTGGGTGAAGGTGCTGCTGCCGTTTGGTTTGGTTGGGGGTTATTTTAAAGGTATGCTCTCCTCTATGTCAGCCCAGGCCACGGGGAGCAGTCACTGGCATTTAGAAAGAGAGGAAAATTGATATATTTTTGCTTGTGGATTTAAGGGTGGGAAGCGGCCAAATGCTGGGTGTGCTGAAGGTTCTTCGTGTTGGTGTGGGGGCTGGCCCCAGGCATGGAGCAGGAGGTGGTGGGAGCTACGGCTTGGGTGCTCGGTGCCACGCTCACCTCCTCGGGGCAGGGAAAACTCATGACTTTACAGTAAATGCAGCTTCGAGCAAGTTTCTGGAGCCACGCAAAGCAGAGGGCTTTCACCAAGAGGAGCTATATGGGAGCAGCTCTCAACCTGTAGCAGCACCCTGCTGAGTACAGCGGTACCTCCAGCCTTGCACGTTGCCTGCAGGCTTACAGGCAGCAAGGGTCCTTGCACACACGTGCACGTTGTGGTTTCATTTGGGGGAGCAGATCCAGCGCGTGGGAGTGAGCAGTCAGGGCTGGCAGCGACCTGGGAAGCAACCCCTGGGCAAGCCCTGACCTCAGCACTTCTGCATATCTGCCCATGCCCCCGCTAGCAGTTCAGGACCCTGCGCGTCCCCCTGGGTTCAACCAATCCATTAGGATTTTGGAAGTGACACAAGGGACATTGTTTCTTTGAAAGCCACCAGCTTGCAAGTTGCTTTACTGTGCCCCTCACCTGGAGCTGCTGCTGGTGGTGCAGCTCTCCTCTTCTCCAAGGCTGTTGATGCATGACGCTCCGAGACGCCGACCAGGTTTGCAGTCTTCACCCCAATGGTGGCTATGTTTCTGGGCTAGCGGAAGCGCCCTGGGATCCTCCTCAACCACCAGACGAGTGCGGAGAAGGGGTGGGAGAGGAAGAGCAGCAGCAAAGCAGGAGGGGGGAGGCGATGGCTGCATGGCAGCGGCTTCAGGGCCGGCACAGCGGCCTTTTACACTGAGATAGGAAGGACTCAGGTTTGCATGTCCCCTGGCAGGCTGCCCATCCTTTGGTTAAAGCAGGTTTTAGGCTGCATGAGCCAGGCTTCCCCTGTGGTTTGAGGATTGCATGGACAGAGGCGATGTCGTGAGCTACCCCCCTTCTTGGTAGCTGGGTGGGAGCTTGCAAAAATTTGCCATTTGGTTTTTATATATGTATGTGTGTGTGTATATACAAAATAGCTGGAAAATGTGTCGCCAGCTTTACTGAGCTGGAAGTTGTCAGCAGACCGTGGGCTAAGAAATGGCTTTGAATTTGGGATTGAGCTACCTTAACACCCACGAGTGGGAAGTCTTTCTAGAAGCATCGCAGGCTCAGAAACACGGAGGAGAGCCAGGCGTATCGCATTGTGGGGCCGCAGGGGAGAAGAAGGCAGCTTTGGAGCTGGGGGATGAAGCAGAAGAATTAAGAGGAACTAAAGGTCTCTGTGCCATTGCAGCATGTCAGGGGGTGTCATTCGTAGCTGCCGCACAGTGTGTTGGTGGGCAGGTAGAGCAGAGGCTTTGCCAGAAGCCCCCACCGAAGGTTTCACCATAAGACAAAGAAATGCTCGTTAGCCGAGGTCAGCACTGTGCCAGCAATGAGGAAAGAGGGGAGAAAAAACTAACCTAAAGAAAAGGAGATAAAATAACTCCCCAGCCAAGCCTGCTGCTGGCAAGGCTGTGGCTCGGGGGATGGGATGTGGCACATGCTCGGCTGTCCCATGCACGGCTCCCGGGCTGTGCCCTGGGGAGTGTTTCAGTGAGCCAGTTTTTAATGTTTTTGAAAAGGGAAGGAGTAGAAAATGCAGAGGTATATGAGGGAGTTGACGTTGCTAAGACAATTTTCCACCTCTTGGGATTTTTGGACTTCAGCATGCTTCGTGTCACAGCTTTAGCTCTCTCTGGTCCCGCTATAACCCTCCCAGCCTCCTTGCATTTATGGGGGAGAAAGATGAGGGTCTGGAGGTGTTGGCAGTGGTAATGTCCTCACGCCACGCCTCTCCACAGGGTAGGACCAGGTGAGCTTGCGTGCGTCCTCTGAACCCCCGCGCGCTTGCCCTCGGGCCCTTGCTGGTGCCACGGCACCCTGGGGGACGGTAGGACAGCAGAGCTTGGAGGTCAGCCAGACCTCTTGCCCACCCAGCACTGGACGACGCTTGGGCAATTATTTTCCTAGAGCTGCACGTTCACACCCTGTTCATCCTCCAGGGTGCTTGGCATGGATAGAGGCTTGGGCGGTTTTTTTTTCCCCAAAAACTTTTAGTATACACTGTTTGGCGGGGGGATAGACCAAAATCTATTGCTGCAACTGCTGGAGCTCCTCCAGACCCTGGGTTGGGACCACCCTGGCTGGGGAGCTGGCGGGAGATGGGACAGGGATGGGCTCTGCACGGGGACGTCGGCAGAGACGTTGTGTGTGGGGCTGCCAGGGCTCGGGGCCGGGTCTCTCCCTCCCACTCTTCCCCAGCACTGATGTTTCCCATGTCGTTTTTTGCCGCTTTCCCTGCCCGTGCTGCCAGGACCTGCCTTCCCTGGCCTCCAGCAGAGAGATGGTATGCCTCCATCCTCCCGGCATGTCCGTGTGTTCCCCTTCCCTTCTCGTTTCACACAAGACCCCCCTTCCATCCCCGCGCGGGGGTGCTGTTGACGGTGTGTCTCCTCTCCCCACGCTCGCAGGATTCCCGTTGCCAGGACTCGAGCACTGAGATGGTAGGCTGCTCTGCCCGCTTGATGCCCGGTTTTCCTTCTGGCGGTGTTTTTCTGCATGCTCTGCTCCGGGCACCCGGGGTCCATCACCTCCCCGGGGTGTGGGTACCATGCGGGGCTGCTGTAACGAAGGGCAGCCTTGTAACGAGATCTGCTTTGGTGCTACCGAGCTGTTTTTTGAGACGTGAGCTTATAACTCCTGTGTTTCTCTTGGCATGCCTTGATTTTTCTTCCTTTTTTCTATCAGGGGGAGGGAAAAGAAGAAGAAAAAAAAAAAGGCTGGATTTTCTTTATCCAAAATCCCCCAAACCGATCCCAAACGAAAGGGACCCACGCTTGCTGCAGAGCACCTGGGTTAGCGTTGCTGGACTTTATCTGGGGGTCTTGCGGGGGGCCGGGTCTGGAGGTGGGATGGGCTCCTCCGCCGTCGGGGTGACGCCGTCTCCCTGTATTCTGTGGCAGATGGTGGGGGGCTGTTGCTGCTGCCCATCGCTGGTAGAGTACCCTGGTCCCAAGGAGGTATGCCGCGCCTGCCGCGTCCTGCCCCCCCCTTCCCCACTGCTAGCTCACTGCACCCTCCAGTCCTGGTCAGGGACACCCCCGTTGCGGCTCCGCTCAGGATGGAGGCACCCGGGGTGGTGTGATGTCTCCACAACCTCTCTTCCCTCCTTGAAGTGGGGTTCAGTCTCCTGGAGTTGGGGGTTTGCCTGGGGTATGGGCAGCAGCCTCTGCCTTGCAGGGGTTGTGGGGAAAACAGCGGCTGGGATCCTTCTGAGCTGTGGATCTCCAATTCCCCAGCTCCAGCGTCGGAGGGGCTGCCTGTCTGCTGCAGTTAAACCCACCGAGGAGGGGCTTGCCCTCCCCACCGATGGGGGCCCATGCAGCTGGATGCTGTGATTTCAGGGCTCCCTCCATCAGGTTGCTGTGGGAGATGATCGGAGACGGACAGATGCCAGCGTCGGTCACGGCATCCCTGCCGGGGTCTCGCTGGGAAACATCGGTTTTGAGATGGTCTTCGCTGGGAGTGAAGCGGGGGGGCGCAGGGGTGCAGGGCTGGGGTCGGGTGATCTCCCGGCGCGGCAGGACGGTGACAAGCATCGCCGCCCTGAGCCTGGCTGACTTCTCGGTGGTTTAATGCCATGGTCCCTGTGAGCCAGGTGGCTTCTTGGGTGAGAAGCCTTTTGCCACGGCACTGGTTGGTTTTCATTTCTCCCTTCCCCACCCTTTGCCGGTCTCTGCCCTGATGCTCGGAGTGGTCTCCATCCCCAGGTGAAGACGGAGATCAGTGTGGAGAGCAAGCACCAGACCCTGCAGGGCCTGGCCTTCCCCCTGCAGTTGGATGCTCAGCAAGCCATCCAGGCGCTCAAGCAGAAGAAAATCAACTACATCCAGCTGGTAGGTCTCTCGCACGGCTCCCCTGCGCCCTGCTCCCCCGCGCCCTGCTCCCCCTGCCTCTTGCTGCCGCCTCTCACTCTTGTCTGCTCCTCCATCCCCTCTGTCCATCAGAAGCTGGATCTGGAGCGGGAGACCATCGACCTGGTGCACACAAGTCCCACGGAGATCGCCGACCTGCCCAAGAGGATCCCCCAGGATTCTGCTCGCTACCATTTCTTCCTGTACAAGCATTCGCACGAGGGAGACTATCTGGAGTCTGTTGGTGAGTCCCCCGGCACTGGGGATGGCTGGTTAGAGCCCACGCTGGTCCCCACTCTCCCTGGACCATCGCTTGCATGGGGAACAAGCGGGGAGGGGGATAGGGATGGTGCAGCAGGGGACTTTGAGTCGGTTCCCACTTGCCATCCTCCTGTGGTGGGTGCTGGCAAGCCCTTTGGTGCCAAAAGAAGCTGCCACACGTGGTGCAGGGCTCTCTGGGTGCTGCCGCAGAGGATTTGTGTGGGCGGTTTGGTGGCCATTGCATCGCAGGTGTACCAGGAGAGATTTGGGGAGGGGTGATGGATGGGGTGGCTCACCTTCTGTTGCTGAGTAGACTGGGACTCTTGGGGCTGGAAAAGCCATGACCAGGGTGGGATGTGGCTGCCTGGTGCTCCCTGGACACAAGCCCGGGCAGTGCCACAAGCCCTGCTCTCTTCTCGCAGTCTTTATCTACTCCATGCCCGGGTACAAATGCAGCATCAAGGAGCGCATGCTCTACTCCAGCTGCAAGAGCCGGTTGCTGGACACCGTGGAGCAGGAGTTTTGCCTGGAGATAGCCAAGAAGGTAAGTGCGAGCCCACCTGGAGGTGATGGAGCCCATGCTGGGCATCTGCAGGGGACTGTGCTGCGGCCTTGGTCCAGCCCCGCCAGTGGGCTCAGGGGGGAGTTGGGTGCCCCAAAGGTGAGTGTCAAGACTCCAGGGAGCTGCTAACCCCCACTTGCCGCTCCTGGATGCAGATCGAGATCGATGATGGAGCTGAGCTGACGGCGGAGTTCCTCTATGAGGAGGTGCACCCCAAGCAGCACGCCTTCAAGCAGGCTTTCGCCAAGCCCAAGGGGCCCGTGGGCAAACGGGGACAGAAGCGGCTGATCAAGGGGCCGGGGGAGAACGGCGAGGACAGTTAGATCCCGCAGGACCGGGCGGTGAACGGACAGCATCCCCGCAGCGCTTCCTGGCTTCCTATCTGCTGACCTGGGGATCTTTCCCTCCATCTCAGCCTATTTTTCCACCCCCCCCCTCTTTTTCCTACTTCATTCCTTTTTTAAACATCAGGATGGCTTGTTGCACCTGGGGCCTGAGTGGTGGGGAGGGTTCCGGGTTGTCGGTGTTTCTTTTCCCTGCGTCCTTGTGCAAGCCCCAGGGCTGCTGGAGGAGGACGGGAGCAGCAGGGTCGTGTCCCCCAGCCTTGCTCCTGTCCCCCTGGGGTCACAGCCGCTGCTCTCGGTGTCCCCTGGGTGACTGAAGGACGTGCTCGCCTGCAAGCTGCTCTATGCAAAGGGAAGGGGATGGTGTTGGGGATTCCTGTTTGAAAAGAGAAAATGCTTCTTTCCCTGCTCCCCCAGCCCCCAGATTTTGCTCCCCTGTCCCGCTCTCAGTGTGCGTGGCCCCTCTGCCCCAGGCCTGGAGCGATCCCGCACCCCCTCAGGGTGTGGGCAGGACCCCTCCCCACGGGGTGGGCTTTGCTGGCAGGAGTTTGTCCCTGAGGGGAGCCAGGCGGTGGGAGGCGGAAGGTCCTCCCCCAGTCCTGAGCTCATCCTGGCCCTGAAGAAAGGTCACTCTGCCTTTGGGAAATGTTTGCATCCCCTTTTTGAATCCCCCCAATAAGGTTTTTCCCCTCAGAGGGAGCTGTTACAGTCCTGACTCAGCCCCATCCCTTTTTAGGATGGGAGCTGGGGAGGTGCCGAGCCCTGGTCCCCCCACCTCCACGTGCCCCAGCACCCACCAGAGTTTCTTGCCAGCTCTCTGGTCTGGGGCAGCCCCGTGTCTTAAAAATCACATGGGCTACCCCAAATCCTTGTGGGGGGAAGTCCCTATGTCCCCCCCCCTGCCCACGGACGTCCCCAGCCACCAAGGGCCATCACCAGCTCCAAGGGCTGAGCTTGGTGCTGCAGATTAGGCTTCACTGGGGGTTTGGGGGGGAGAGCTCCTTGCTGCTGGGTACCAGTGAGGACTTGAGAGGCGCCTGGCTCCCTGGGAAAATGGAAGCTGGGCCAGTGAAACCCGCCCTCCGCTTTCCTGCTGTCCCGGCGACTGTGCCGACCTTGCCTTGGCCTCGGCAGAGCGGGAGCGGGTGGTGGGGAGGTTGAAGCTGGGGGAGCAGAGCACACTGTACTGAATGCTGTATTTTCTAAAGAATAAAGTATTTTTAAAACAGTCTGATGCTCTTTGGAGGTCCCCGGGGTTCCCCAGGTTTGGGCATTTAGCAACCGCGGGTGCTGGAGCTGCAAAGTAAATTGCTCAGACATCGCTAGCCAGGAGCCAGCAACCATCGCAGCATGCCTGCTGTGGCCGCATCCAGCCCTCACCACCCTCAAGGACATTTATGCTTTAATCCAGGGGTCTGGGACAACCCTTTAATGCCCGGCAAGGATTTAACACCAGACCCCTCCAGCGATGCCCAGAGCTAGAGCCAGCTGCGGGAGGCAGCATCCCTGCTCAGCTCAGCCTTCCTTCTTTTAACGGCTGGTGATGGTTTTGCAAGGCTGTGCTGCTGCTGCCTGTGCCTGTTTTCTTGGCTGGAGTGAATCCCTGCATGGCGATGGGGAGGGAATGCGGGAGGATGCTGAGCCAAGAGAAGGGTTGGGAAGGTGATGGGGGCTGCCCGTGTCCTGGGCCCCCATCCCTCCCACTCCTCACCCAGGGCAAGGCAGCGTTTCCCAGGCTCCTGGGAGGGGAGCCAGACCCCACACCTCCCTTGGCAGTGAGTAGCTGCCCTGCCAGAGCTCTTCAGCATCCAAAAAAAGACCAATAGCCAAAATCTTGTAACACCAGCTGGGCTGCGGGGTCTGAATTTCCCAACAGCGGGTCCTGATGGAGAAGCAGGGAAGCATGTCCTGGCTTGTGACACAGCCCCCGGCAGCTGCTGCCTCCCCCTTCCTTGCCCAGAGGAGCTCAGCTGCAATTTGGATATAACCTTTTTTTAATTTATTATGGTGTTCTGAGCAGGTTTCCCAGCGGAAAGACTCCCTGTGTGCTGCGCCGGGACAGCCTGGGCCCCAAACCTGCTCTTGCAATGAGCCCAGCTCAGGGCTGTGCCTGTGTCTTGGCTTTGAGATGGATGATTTGGGAAGCCGGCTGTAAAACAAAACAAAACAAAAAGAAAGGGGGGAAAAAAAAAAGGAAAAAAGAAAAAAAAGGTTTAATGCAATAAAGAACCAACCCCAAATGAGTTTCCCCTTGGCACGGAGGAGGAGGAGGGAAGCCGCTGCTATGCATGGAGCAGCCATGGCACAGGAGAGCTCCCTCTGCATATAAATACTAACAAACCTGGACTGACACCACCAGAATCATCTGACAAGCTCATTCACCCTTCTCCTTCGGGTCCTGCTCCCTTCTGTGTTCGGTAATTTTTAAACTTGCCCGAATGTTGAGGGGGAGTGAGGGGTGTGCCCCATTTCCCACCCACCCCCCTCACTGCCCCCATC